CCGTTTTCACGGTTCGATAGTACAAATGAAAATAATAACGAGAAACTAGCAAGCCAGCGTCTTTATTGCGTTGTGTTCAACCTCAAATCAAGAACCTAACTGCTTAATTCCTAAAATAATCCCAAAGTGTATCAAACTTAGACTTCCCATTAAAAATGGCAGTGACCCGCCTTGAGAGTAAGTTCACCAGAACAGGGAGGGTATGATAAGGTGAGGGTCACATTCCAGGGATGGACAGGAAGAGAGGTTGGTAGGAACAACACAAATTACACTATAGGGAGGTCTTTGTGCATCTGTCAAACAGGTTGTCACTAACATTAATGACATAGATGGACATACATTATAGTACAATGGTCAACTGTTGGACTTTATCATGGATAGTTATGGTATATATATATACTGTATACATATACACACGCACACACATATGTAGCGGGTGACCACTGCTTGAAGTAAGCGAATCCCGTCACTTAATTCATCGTGGGGGCTCGGGTTCCAGTTACGCGCAGGCTCAGTCGGTAGATGTGTACATATATGGCCACAAATAAAACAAGAGGAACCTTTTCTAGTTATATACTTAATAATGGTTTATTGGGCAATGGGGATTACAAATAGGGACTTATAAATTGGACCTAACAAACTACTCACGTGAGACCGTCGGCAATGCAGCGTACGCTTGTAGAATGTAAAATAATAATAAATGCAAGAAGTCCAACAAAAATAGAGTTCAGAATATACGGCAAAACAGCGAGTTCCAATGATATAACAAATTTCAGTTCAGGAAGATGTCCAAAATCGCTTCCACTTGCAATCATCTGGTTGCACTTGGTACCGGTATTTGTTACAGCAAATCAAACTGTTCTTCTGATCCAAGTCAAGAAAATAGTGAAACCAAAAGAGTAGTACTGTAATTCTTCTTCCTTTTTAATTCAGGAAGGTTCCCAGTCAACAGCTTTCTGAAAAAAATTCACATTTATCCTAAGTCTATCCGACTATAGGACTATACTTCTGTGTGCTGGAGTTCCTATCGGGATCTCTCAGTGTTCCTTCTTCTCTGCTGTGTCTTCTTTCCTGTTCTCCCTTGTTTCCTTGGATATTCTGGGTATATGTAGAGGATCTGGCTCCACCCTACTCATTTGAGTATTCAATTATCATTGGTCCTTTAGCCTCAGGCAACACCCAAAGTCACTGTCCATTCCCGATTTCCTGTGTCCGGTAATACATCATTTGATGTTGACAAGATGTTTCCTACACTTCCTCAGGTATGTCGACAGCACTCCACCCAACTCTCAGGAGAGGGTTAGCTGGTGGTATCTATTTGACTATAGCAAATGGAATGTTCAATGGGTCATTAACCTACAGGCTAAAACAGTATTGCATTGTATAGCCTCTTTGGATAGGGATAGTGGATTAATATAAATAAATAGTAGAATAAAGCTACTTAAGATTACAAAAAATACACCCTACTACATACATATATATATACATATATATATACACATATACATATATATATACACATGATATATATATATACACATTCTCTTATACACATCT